ACGACACACTGAGGACTACACTTGCGGCTCTTGGGTTTGCTCCTTGTACTGCCGACCCGTCGCTGTTTCTGCGCACCGACACCTCTCTGCCGCCGTTCTACATCCTCGTGTATGTCGACGACTTGGTCTTTGCCACAGCTGACACTGCTGGACTCGCCTACGTGAAGTCCGAGCTGCAGAAGAGACACACGTGTACAGACCTGGGTGAACTGTGCAGCTAACTTGGCTTGCAGATCACCCGGGACAGAGCACGCCGCACCATTGCTCTAACTCAGTCACACATGGTGCAGCAGGTCCTTCAGCGCTTCGGCTTCACGTACTCCTCACCTCAGGCCACTCCTCTGCCTACTCGCCACTCGCTCTCAGCTCTGCCTTCGGATGAGTCCGTAGAGTCGAGTGGCCCGTATCTAGAGCTTGTCGGCTGCCTTATATACCTGATGACCTGCACACGACCTGACCTTGCATACCCTCTTAGCATTCTCGCACGCTATGTTGCTCCTGGGAGACACCGACCAGAGCACATGGCTGCAACGAAGAGGGTGTTGCGCTACTTGTGCAGTACGTCGGGCATGGGGGCTAGTGCTTGGAGGGCGCAGTCCAGTGGTCCTTACTGGGCACGCAGACGCTTCTTGGGCTGACGACCAGGCTACACAGCGGTCGTCACAGGGTTACACCTTCAGCCTTGGTTCCGGCTCTGTCTCGTGGCGGGCTACTCGCTCGTCTTCTGTTCTCGGCTCCAGTTGTGAGGCCGAGATCTACGCGGGGGCCATGGCTGCACAGGAGCTTTGCTGGCTCACCTACCTGCTTACTGACCTCGGAGAGCCGCCTCGTTCTCCTCCAGTCCTGTACGTAGACAACAAGGCCATGCTGGCCTTGTGTCGAGAGCAGCGACTGGAGCACAGAACAAAGCACATTGCTCTCCGCTACTTCCTTGCTCGTGAGCTACAGCAGCGTGGACAGTTGCGGCTTGGGTACGTGGCCTCTGAGGCCAACACTGCTGATGTCTTCACCAAGGCACTTCCGCCTTGTGATCATCAGCGCTTCTGCACTCAGCTGGGTCTTGTCCCTGTCTTGCCTCACTTGCTCACCTCTTGACCTTGCTTGTACTGTACATATATATATACCTGCTGTTGCTTGTCTAGCCTTATATATATATGTACTCGTGCATGTGAACTGGCCTTGTGGCCTTGAACTTGTGCTCGGAATGTGTGGTGACTTTGTGATCCACCCTGAGCTTTGCTTTGGTTGACTGGTCTTGTGACCCCCTGTTCTCCCCCACTTTGCCTATGGGGGTGTGTCAGAACATTATAGCTTATGCTTTTGTGTAGGCTGTAGTGGGGTATCCCATAGGGGGTACAACCAAATTAGGGTTAGTACTTGTACCCACTTCATTCATAGTTCATTCATTCTCGTTCACACTTTCTCATAGCCCACTGAATGTGGTGGTCCAAAGAGAGAAATGCCGACTGATCCTCGACCTCCGCCAAGTGAACCTGCACCTGCGCATTCCAAAATTCAAGTACGAGGGGCTCAATCGGGTTGCGGAGATTGCTTGCGTGGGCGACTGGATATTCTCTATCGACCTAAATTTTGGGTATCACCACGTGGATATTCACCCATCGTGCTGGAAGTACCTGGGATTTCGATTTGACGGAAAGACATACATATTCCGCTCGCTCCCGTTCCGCCTCGCGACGGCCCCATTCGTTTTTACACAACTTATCAAACAACTCGCTCGGCGCTGGCGAGCCATGGGCATACGGGTCATGCCTTATGTCGACGACATCCTCTTCCTTTGTGACACGGAAGCGAAAGCACGAGCCACATGTCAATCAATCATACATGACCTCAACAAGGCAGGGCTTGTGATCAACTCGAAAAAGTCGCATCTACAACCGACCCAGCAGTTGCGTTTCCTGGGCGTCGAGTTAGACACTGACCGTGGTCAGTTCTCTATCGGCGCTGAACCTCGATGGGCCACCTACATTCACGGTAGCCAGTGCCTGATGGAAGGCAATCACTCCAGCGCCTTCTCCGGCGACGGTTTGCCGTGTAGTCCGATGGTAGCACTACGCGTATCATTCACCTGCTAACTGCTTTTGCACACGATGCAGGATTGCTGGAAAAACTCAAGCATCGCCTACTAGAGATAACTACGCAAACGCGGGCCGACTCCACAAACCGTACATACGAGCCCTACTGGGTCAAGTTCCGCTCCTTTTGCCAACACCACAAGCTCAAGTTCCTCCCATGCACTGACATGACGCTCGCGCTGTACCTGGTCCACGCCATTCAACACAGGGCTACGGTGTCTGCAATTCAATTGACATGCGCTGCAGTCAGCTTCGCGCATCGGTCGATCGGGGCATCATGCCCGTCTATCGGCGCATTCACCTCTCAAGTCAGAGATTTTGCGAAGAAGCGATGTCCGCACCCTACCCGGGCCAAAGAACCCGTGTCGCTTCATCAAGTCTACGCGATGGCATCGGAATTTCTACAGTCAGACAACCCTCGCGAATTTCAGACGGGGCTAATACCAATCATAATGTACGCCGGGTTTCTGCGCTACTCCGACCTTGCAGTCTTCAACTGGCATGAGATTCATTTCGAGCCGGAAGTCATGTGGTTACTAATACCCCGTTCCAAGACGGATCAGGCAGGAGAACGCACATGGGTCCCGGTAGCGGCAAGCCCTGGGCCCTTTTGCCCAGTTCGGTGCACCAAACGATTCATACACCTAGCACGATACGATCAATCGCAACAAGGTCCACTCATCCGCGTCTTTGGAACAGAGGGTGGGAAAAACGGTGCCGCCAAGTCGCCATCCTACACCACAATCCGCAACTGGTGCAAAGAGGCCTTCAACAAAATCGGTCTTAGTTTCGAGCATCTCGGCACCCACTCTTTTCGGAAAGACCTGTCGCAGCCAACGCCGGAATATCAAACCGCATCCTGAAGCGACTAGGAAGGTGGAGCAGCGACACCGCCAAGGAGACGTACATCACGCCTGCCGCAGACCAACTTGTGGGGGCTTCGAAGCAAGTTCAAGACCCAGCACGAGCCCTCTCCCCCGCTCAACACGCCACGACAGTGGCGTGCCAACGGCGTCCAACAATACACATGTCTCAGAAGACCCATTTGAAATGAGACAATGCCATTGCTACAACAAGAAAGCAAGCTTTTTAAAATATGAATATTTTTAAAAGTTGTAACGCTTTTCAAATTTTTTTATTTTGAAAGCGAAGCGGCTTGTAATGTAGCAATGGTCATCGGCGAACCGCGCTAAATGCCCGTTTTGGAGTACAAAACGTGGGCTGGAGGTCATTTCCCTCCACCCACGTCTTTCATTTTCAAACGGCTTAGCCTAGTTTCCCGCACACCCACCCCCGTAGAACTGGGACCAAATATGGATAGTTGATTGCTTTAGAATAATTGCATGCTAGCTTGGACATGTCTGTACGATGCCATTTGAAATGAGACGATGCCATTGCTACAACAAGAAAGCAAGCTTTCTAAAATTGATAGTATTTGTGCAATATGGGACTCATGCAACCAAACGCGAAGTGGCCCCTGGGGTCTACTGAGTCAGCGAAATGTGTTTGAGATTGGCGAGAAGTTGGGCGAAACCAAAGCCCTCAACCCACCCAACACCTCGACTAGCCAACCTTGCTCCCTCACCTCCCAACATGCAGCTTTAGTAAAGTTGTACAATTTGGGCTGCGAGCTTTAAACTTCTGAGCGCATGACAATACTGTTTATCTTCCTTCAGACAAACTTTTAAACACTACATGGTGAAGTCGACGGTGGTGCAGAGTCTCGCTGGTCGACGAAAGCGACCAATGGGATTTACACAGACGGTGGCGTCGGCTGAGCGGCGTCTTTCTGGTCGATCTGCGGCCATATACTACGAAGATTCCTGATTTATCATGCTTTCCAGACACGACCATCATTTTGATGTACTCCACTAATTTTTTTACACTAAATAAACTGGAAACACATGGGGCTGCATATTACCGTAGTACCGTAGGATCAGGGCCTCAGATTCGTTTTTAGCTTGGCTGATACGTCAGCCTTAGCAGGCTATGCTGGGCTGATCAATCAGAGTTGGTTAAAAAATAAAAACTGAAATTTCAGACAATCACAAAAAAAAAAACGCTGACTAATCAGCCTCACTAGAAAACGCAGGCTGAACTGGATTGGTTCTATGTTTAGGGCACGCACTTGGATGCAGGTTCGGGGTGGGTGAGATGGGGTGAGGTGGGTGTCCTTGTCGTGAGTGCGTGCGGTGCGTTGCTGTGCTGCACTGGTGGTGGGTGATTGGCGCATAAGGGATGTGACAACCAATCACATCAATTAAAGCATTCTGTCGGTGACAACGAAGCACCGACGCGTCGGGGAAATTCGTTTTCCCCCGCGTCGGCGCTGTACATGGTGACTTTTGCGTGATTGACAGGTGGATGTACCTGGACAGCCGAAACTCACGGCTCTGGCACGAATCTGTAATAGCGTGAGAGTTCAGCCTACACTCTCGTTATAAATCAGCCAACACTTGTAAAAAAACGCTGGAAAATCAGCCAATACATTAAAAAAAAAACCTGAACAATCAGCCAACACATTAAAAAAAAAACTGCATTATCAGCCAACACATCAGCCACAAGTCTGGGAAATCAGCGTCCAGACCCTAAATCAGCCTTTTTTCGCTGACTTCTGAGGCCCTGCGTAGGATGAATCTGGTAATATCATGCTTTTCAGACATGACCAGAGCATTGCCGCCGATATACACTGGTGAGATTCTGACACTCAATGCATCTGGGAACACGTGCAACAGGGCCAAAGTATGCAGTGATAGCCTTGAACTTCCCATTCAAGAAATTCCGCTCCACCTGCAGCACATTGAAGGAATTCGAAGCACGGATGCCAAACAGGTATTCAGACCTCAGATCTCTGTGTTCTAACGAGCACATATTAGCACTGTAGCAAATTGCGGCATGAGTCACGAGTCACGAGTGACGCACCAGGCAGGGACCAGAAGGCGTGATGGAGCGAGCGAGTTGTTCCAAGTGGTGGATGGGAGTGTTGCGAGGCAGGTACATGGCCACTGAGGGGGCGATGCTCAGTGCCAGCTGCAGCAGGGCGGAGCTGGGGGAAGCGGAAGCAGCAAAAAAGACATAGGTGGTGGAAAGGGTGATGTCGTGCGTTGTAATTCAGCGGTCTCTGGTACCAAGACTGCGGGAAAGAAGGAAAGGCAATGGAACCAAGGGTGCTGTGGAGGGTGGAGAGAGGGCTGGTCAGCACGTGTGAATGCATGGATTAAGAGGATGAACATTCCACTCAACACCATGACAACAGAATGAGAAGTTTCGAAAGGAACACTTGATTATGGTCGGTATGAAAAGGGCACTCAAGGATGAAACGTACGCGCTGACTGGCTGCAGCATGGTCCAGATGTCGTACTCTGATTGGTCTAGATACTCCGGGCCACCCCATGGGGGGGACAGGAAGACCACATCAGCCTGCCCTGCAGCACAAGGTAAAGGCACGAGACAGACACCGGGGGCCGGAAATGGTACGAGGAGTGGGTGCATGCGTTAAATGGGGCTTGGGAGCGTAGAGAGTGGGAAGATGGGGGTTAGGAGCGTAGGGAGTGGGATTATGGGGGTTGGGAGCGTATAGAGTGTGAAAATGGGGGTTGGGAGCGTATAAAGTGGGAAAATGGGGGTTGGGAGCGTATAGAGTGGGAAAATGGGGGTTGGGAGCATGTCGAATTGGAAAATGGGGGTTGGGAGCATGGAAGTTTTAGTGCAAGTGAGTATGCCAAGATGGGGCAAGGTAGCATGGGGGCATGTGGGCATTGAAGCATGAGAGCATGGGAGAATGGAGCATGAGAGCATGGGAGCATGTGGGCATGGGAGCATGGGAGACATGGCAGCATGAACCACAGCAAGCCAAATGCAAAACAGCAGAGATCTCATGCAGGAGGACATGCGGTAGCATAGAAACATATGGTGGACAGGACAGCAAACTACAGGTTGTGCCGGCATGGGTATGCATGGGCATGGGTATGCATGGGCATGGGTATGCATGCCCACATAAATGTCAGGGAATCCGAACTTGGGAGCAAGCGTATCAGTAAGCGAATGGACAACAAGGATGCTGATGCATGGGATGCTGATGCATGGGATGCTGATGCATGGGATGCTGATGCATGGGATGTTGACGCATGGGATGTTGACGCATGGGATGTTGACGCATGGGATGTTGACGAATGGGATGTTGACGAATGGGATGTTGACACATGGCGATAAGGGGAGATGCAACAGCATATGGGCATATACACAGCCTCGGCCTATGCGGGCCCTCGGGAATCCCAACACGACGTGTGCACACTAGAGCCGCAATGAAAGGAGAGAGGAAGAAGTTGGCCATGCCGCGGTGCAGTGCAGAGGAAGTCGGCGCACAGAGCATCCACTCAATGGGGCAGACCGGGTCGGGGCCGTAGAGGGCAAGGCAAGTGCTGTGAGGAATTATAGTGCACACCGTACGACACCTAACAAGTCCTCCCATGCCTCACTTTAAGCCGCGGTGCAATGGAGAGGAAGTCGGTGCAGAGCGCCCATTCGGTGGGGCAGACCGGGTTGGGGCTGTAGAGGGCAAGTGCTGTGAGGGGTTGCAGCGCAAACCATGCGACACCCCATGATTCGTCCCATGACTCACCTTAAGCCATGGTGCAGGGGACAGGAAGTCACCTTAAGCCATGGTGCAGGGGACAGGAAGTCACCTTAAGCCATGGTGCAGGGGACAGGAAGTCAGCGCAAAGCACATCCACTCAGTGGGGCAGACCACGTCGGGGCTGTAGAGGGCAGGTGTTGTGAAGGGTTATAGTGCACACCATACGACACCTCTCTGGTCCTCCCGTGCCTCACCTTAAGCCGCAGCGCAATGGAAAGGAAGTCGGCGCAAAGCGCATCCACTCGACGGGGCAGATGGGGGCCGTAGATGCTGAGGTTGTGGTGCAGCATGGCCAGGCGAGGCACACTCATGTCAACCGCCAGCACGTGGGGGCAGCTGAGAGGGGTTGGAGTTGGGGGTTGGCGGGTGGGGGTGAGGAGCAGAGAGATGAGCTCAGGGACGTGTGGAGGCACAGAGGCCGAAGATAAGAGGCAGGGGCTGATGATAGAGGTTGTGTTGGAGGATGGCCTGGTGGGGCAGGCAGGCTCATGTCCATGGCTGGCACATGGGAGCAGCTGAGAGGGAACGAGGGGTGAAGAGAAGAGAGATTCAGTTGGGTGAAGATGTGGAGGCATGAGGGGCTGTAGAGGGCGAGGTTGTGTTGGAGCATGGCCTGGCGAGGCAGGCTCATGTCAACGGCCAGCACGTGGGGGCAGCTGAGAGGGGACAAGGGGGCCGGTTCAAGGTTGGGGGTGAAGAGTAGAATCATGTTTCAAGTCGGGTGTAGATGTGGAGTGGAGGCATGGGGGCTGTAGAGGGCAAGATTAATTGTTGGAGCATGAGTAGGCGAGGCCGGCTCATGTCAATGGCCAGCTCGTTGGGGCAGCTGGGAGAAAGAGGAGGTGGGGAAAGGGGAACGCGAATAGAGACAGGGTGTAATGTGGAAGTGAATAATTTGGAAGCGAATTCTGTAGGGGAGTTGTGTGGCATTGATATGTAGAAGCAGGGGAGTAGGTAGAAGCTGTGTAGCGGAGACACCACACAATGAAGGTACAATGAAGCAGCAGAAGTAACAGCACATGCTGCCAAAAGAACCATCACGAAGTCGTATACACCAATATTTGCGAGCTACATGGTCTTGCTCACCCGCGTCTCCCACACTCCATCCACTACTGAGCTGTCAACCCACCCTAGAAGCCCCCACGTAGAATCCATCCACCCCCACACCCTCATCCACAGTCATTGGCCGGCCCCCCTTCAGCACTGGTGGTGTTACTTGTGAGGAGAGCAGGTTACTGGGTTGTTGGATAACTCTAACAAGGGTTACTGGGAGCAGCTTAGTCAATAATGGGTTACTGAACAGGGGAGCAGGTTATTGGGTTGTTGGGCAGTTGGGTCAGCTGACCATAGACTCACAGCTGACCATAGACTCACAGCTGACCATAGACTCACAGCTGACCATAGACTCACAGCTGACCATAGACTCACAGCTGACCATAGACTCACAGCTGACCATAGACTCACAGCTGACCATAGACTCACAGCTGACCATAGACTCACAGCTGACCATAGACTCACAGCTGACCATAGACTCACAGCTGACCATAGACTCACAGCTGACCATAGACTCACAGCTGACCATAGACTCACAGCTGACCATAGACTCACAGCTGACCATAGACTCACAGCTGACCATAGACTCACAGCTGACCATAGACTCACAGCTGACCATAGACTCACAGCTGACCATAGACTCACAGCTGACCATAGACTCACAGCTGACCATAGACTCACAGCTGACCATAGACTCACAGCTGACCATAGACTCACAGCTGACCATAGACTCACAGCTGACCATAGACTCACAGCTTGGCGAGGTGGATGGTGTTGCCGCCCACACCACAGAAGGCATCCACCACCACGCCTGCCCCACCCTCCACGCCTTCAACACCCCCCACGTCTGCTGCACCCCTCGTGCCTGCTGCGTGCTCACAACTCTCCATGCGTGCTTCACTCCCACTCCCACACCTCCCTTCGCCCAAGGAACCATCTCTTGGTTCCTCTTCTCCTTCTTGTCTGCCCATCGCATCCCGTTCCCTGTTCACCTCTCCCTCCCCTCCTTCCTTCCCCTCCTCCTCCCCGGCTGTTACTCGGACTCCCCTCTGCTCTAGTGCATCTTCCTCAGAGCTTAACAGTGCAGCACGCGTGGCAGAAACACACATGGCAGCAGCAAGCGTGGCAGCACCATCATCTGCACACGTAGCGCTGCTATCTCCTGCCGATGCGGCAGCACCACCGCCTCCTGCTGACGTGGCAGCATCCACCCCTGCACACGTGGCATCATCATAATACATGACCGCAGCGCACATGGCAGAGTGGTGGGCGGCAATGGCCTCAGGAGTGACAAGGGGCCACGCGTCAGCATCCAATAGAACGCCCTCATTGAACCGTGAGAACAGACCGTACCGCTGCTGCCAGTACTTCTCATACCCCGCTGCTACAGCCTGCTCTGCTACAGCCGGCTCAAGTAAGACCTGCTCCGTTTCTGCCTGTGCGGGATCTCCCTCTGCAGATACAGCCTGTCCTGCTACAGCCTGTTGGGGCGTCCATCCCACCCAGCATGCAAGCCCACTCCCCTCGCCGTGGTCTGGTGGGTGCCACTGGGTGATGGTGGCGGCAGCATTGCAGAAGTACACGCCGTGGGAGAGCGGCTCCCACACCGCCTGCCATGCTCCCTCCTCCGCCACCACAAATGAATCCCCCTCTGCCCGCCCTTCCTCCGCCTGCTCTCCCGTTGCTAACCCTTGCACCTGCTCTCCCCACATCTGATCTTCCCCCATCTGATCTTCCCCCATCTGCTCTTCCCCCATCTGCTCTTCCCCCATCTGCTCTCCCCCCATCTGCTCTCCCCCCATCTGCTCTCCCCCCATCTGCTCTCCCCCCATCTGCTCTCCCCCCATCTGCTCTCCCCCCATCTGCTCTCCCCCCATCTGCTCTCCCCCCATCTGCTCTCCCCCCATCTGCTCTCCCCCCATCTGCTCTCCCCCCATCTGCTCTCCCCCCATCTGCTCTCCGCCCATCTGCGCAGCACCACGCGCTGCCACGTTTGCACTGACAGCCATTACTTCTGCCTCTGCAGCAACCCGTGCTGCTGTCCCCATGCCACCCACCACTGCCTCTGGACCGCTCCCAACCACTGCCATTCCTGCAGCACTCTCCGCCGCTGACCCTGTGAGATCCCTTCCATCAGCAGCAGCCTGCCTTGCTGCATCTGCACCACCCTCCACTGCTATCGCTGGACCCACCCCTGCCACGCCCTCCGCACCGCGCTCTACCCCTGCATCTGGAGCGCACTCTGCTGTTGCCTGCCCATCTCCCCTCCTCCTCCCCCGCCTCTTCTTCTTCCCTCCACGAGCCCCACCAGAACCACCACCACCGCCACCGCCGCCACCATCACCGCCGCTGCCGCCGCCCTGCTGCTGCATCATGGGAACACACGAATACAAACACTTCAACGTTTGTGCTTTGATACGAATTATGGGCATGAGAAAAGGCTTCAAGCTGAGACGTCAGATAAAGGCATCCATGTGCATGCACCCCAGCCCTGTTGGCCTTCACCACATGCACTCCGTCGAGAAGGAATGGGGGCAAGCAATCGAAAGGCATGTGAAAACAAGTTTGTTTTGACACGTCTCAGAACCAACTTGCTATCACGTTTGTAAAAAAAGGGCAATGCAATGGATGGAATGGGTTGCTGCTGCAAAAATAGTACCGCGCGGAATAGACCGAGGGTATCAGAATTAAGGTGAAGAGGACAAGGGGAGAGCAGCAGAAAGTGAGAGTGCAATCACATAAACTGCACTGGCAGGCCAAGAGCAGCCATGGCGCCTGCCAGCTCCTGATCCTCACGCGTCACGCAAAGTCACCACCGCAGCAATCGTGCTGCCTGCATGGTCCCGATCCCTTACTGAACTGCACTGGCAAGCCAAGGGAACCCAACCCATGGCACCACCTGCCAGCCACCTCTGCTTCCACCAGCCTTTCGCCTTCCACCACTGCTCATTCCACTGCTCACCTTAACTTCCTGTGCTGACTGCACAGTCCGCGCCCCTCCACTGAACTGCACTGGCAGGCCAAGAGCAGCCATGGCGCCTGCCAGCTCCTCATCCTCACGCGTTTCACCTTCCACCTCTTCATCCTCGCGCCCTTCACCTGCCACCCACCCGCTGCTTCCCAAACCCCGCTCCCCTCCATCACCCCCTTCAGCCCTCCTGTCCCGTTCGCCCTTTTCCATTGCCGCGCGCCCCTCGCCTCCCCTCCACGGCACCACCTGCACCCTGCAGCACTGCAGCTCGGTGCATGAAGGCCGGCGCCTGGCACGAGCGTCACTGGGAGACAAGGCCAGGGGAGGGGGAATAACGGAGGGTCCCGGGAGAGGGAGAGGGGAGTTTGAGGTATGGGTTGGGGGCAGGGCGGGGCGGGGAGAAAGTGGTGGGATTTGGAGGTGTGGGGGGGGAACGAGGGGGAGACTGGGGAAGGGCGAACTTTGCCTGCCCTCCACGTGCACCTTGCTGCACTGCAGCTCGTTGCATGAGGGCCGGCGCCTGGCACGACCGTCACTGGGAGAGAAGATAAGTACTGTGAATGTGGATGGGGGAGGGGGGAGGGAGAGTATAGGGGAGGGTCCGATGAGAGGGATGTGGGAGTTCTAGGTATGAGGGGGGAGAAGGGAGAGTGGGGGAAGGGTGATCTTCGCCTTGCCTCCACCCCCCTGCCTGCACCTTGCTGCACTACTGCTCATTGCATAAGGCCCAGCGCCCAACTGTCATTGCAAGAGAATGGGGGGGGTTGGGATGGGGGATAAGGGAAGGCGGATGGGGAATGGCAGGTGGGGGATGGCGGATAGGGGAGGGATGGCGGATAGGGGAGGGATGGCAGATAGGGGAGGATAGGGGATGGCAAATAGAGGATGGAGGATGGGGGATGACGGATGGGGGGATGGCAGATGGGGGATGGGATATGGCGGATGGGTGATGGGGATGGCGGATGCAGGAAGGGGGTTGCAGTTAGAGGGAAGGGGATAATGAAGGTGGGTGTGTGGATGGAAGGAGGGGAGGTGGGGAGTGGGAGAATAATGGGTGTGGAAGGGGGGGGAGGGGAGGGGGGGGGAGGGGAGGGTGGGGGGGTGGGAAGTGGAAAGAGGGAGTGGCTATCTTGCGGTGGCTCGCTCCTGTGAGTGGCGATGCCTGGCGAGCGAGACGAGCACTGCGCCGGTGAGTACTGGGGGTGGTGTGCTTGACTCTGTGATCACTGCGCGCAGTGCTGCTGCATGGAGGGAGAGGAGGAGAGTGCGGAACAGCAGCAGGGAGTGTTGAGAGGCAGGCAGCGGCAGGGAGGAGCAGGGAAGGGCAAGATGCGTTACACAACTGTTCGGGTTGTGCGTTAATGCCGAGACGACTGGCATTGAGGCGATTCAAAGATGACTTTGGGTCGACAAAGTAAGACACCTTAGTTGCTTGCGCTGCGCTCACACCGTCGGTGTACCCATTAACGGTGGTGGCCGGAATCGAGAGACTTGCCATACGATGATCGTTACTAGCATTACAAGAGGAACACTCCTTAGCGGAACACTCACTACAAGAACACGTTGACGACGGTGAAGCTCCACCGCGATCGCCTGGCTTGTTGCGGCTCCAACGGGGCGAGAGAAGGGCTTTGCAGCTGCGGGGAGCGAGGCGCCGCTGGGTCCAGCAGTGGAAATACACTCGTTTGCTCCCCTGAGACACTGGTTTCCATGCCTGTGCATGGCTCGACCATGCCCGAAAACGAACGGCTGATCACGGAAAGAAGCGGCTGCAGGGGCTCCGATGAAGTCGCCCTTTATTTGCCGTCGTGAGACTGCTGACGACCCAGGTCCAACTGTAAAGACTCGGGGAGATACACAACCAGCATTAGACTAGGATAGCAATCGCGAATACATTGCGATTAAAGCGACCGTATACATCGCCGCGTTGGCGGTAAAGGGAACTCTAACCACGCCTCCGAGTTCAAAGTAGGCTAACTCGCAGGTGTGTATGTATCTTGTAATCATCATGGGCCCCGCCGCGGTCAGTGCGCACAAGGAGGAATGTGGTGACAAACAACGACAAGGGCATGTCGTGACAAGGGCATGTCGTGACACGGGCATGTCGTGACAAGGGCATGTCGTGACACGGGCATGTCGTGACAAGGGCATGTCGTGACACGGGCATGTCGTGACAAGGGCATGTCGTGACACGGGCATGTCGTGACAAGGGCATGTCGTGACACGGGCATGTCGTGACAAGGGCATGTCGTGACACGGGCATGTCGTGACACGGGCATGTCGTGACACGGGCATGTCGTGACACGGGCATGTCGTGACACGGGCATGTCGTGACAAGGGCATGTCGTGACACGGGCATGTCGTGACAAGGGCATGTCGTGACACGGGCATGTCGTGACACGGGCATGTCGTGACACGGGCATGTCGTGACACGGGCATGTCGTGACACGGGCATGTCGTGACACGGGCATGTCGTGACACGGGCCTTGTCGTGATTTATTATAATTGTTTGTCACGTGGCCCCCAAGACAAACAATGACATGTGGTGGGGCCTTGTCGTGACTCATGAAAGGGCCAAGGCATCACTGGTCACGAGGCCCCCGTTGGCGCCTTGTGAGAGGGTTGGATGTTCAATTATGTGTTGCCCCCTCGCCGCATCTTCGTTCACTCGTACCGCTTCCCATAGCAGCGCGCGCCACACCTAAGCTCGCCGCGACAAGCCTTCCACTCCCACAACCACTCCTCTCCCTCGCACACCCGTGTCGCCCGCTCCCTCTGCTGCTTGGTGGGCCCACCTTGTCACATTTGGCGGGCCCACCTTGTCACATTTGGCGGGCCCACCTTGTCACATTTGGCGGGCCCACCTTGTCACATTTGGCGGGCCCACCTTGTCACATTTGGCGGGCCCACCTTGTCACATTTGGCGGGCCCACCTTGTCACATTTGGCGGGCCCACCTTGTCACATTTGGCGGGCCCACCTTGTCACATTTGGCGGGCCCACCTTGTCACATTTGGCGGGCCCACCTTGTCACATTTGGCGGGCCCAACTTGTCACATTTGGCGGGCCCACCTTGTCACATTTGGCGGGCCCACCTTGTCACATTTGGCGGGCCCACCTTGTCACATTTGGCGGGCCCACCTTGTCACATTTGGCGGGCCCACCTTGTCACATTTGGCGGGCCCACCTTGTCACATTTGGCAGGCCCATTCACCCGTTTGGTGGGCCCACATTCGCCGGGTTGGTAATGGCAGGGAGGCTCTGGGCTGTCTCACCTCGTGCAGGGGGGTCAGGAAGGCTGAGGCAGCGGAGGAAGTGCGGGAATGGATGGGAATGATGGGAAAAAAGGTAACGGCAGGGGGGCACTGGGCTGTCTCACCTCGTGCAGGGAGGCAAGACTCTCAACGTGCGCGCCTCAAATACGCCGGGCCCCCCTCCTGCCCTCACCCACACTACTCAAGGCGGATTGGCGCTGGATATAAGGCCATGAAACGGGAGGGAGGGGGGGCGACGGGTGGGGAATAGGGAGGAAACGAGGGGACGGGGTGTGTATGGGACGGAAGGGGGAGCAATGGGGTGGAAGGAGGGGGCTGGGGAGGGTAGGGTATGGGTGGTAAGGGGAGGAATGGCCGAGGCAGGAAAATGAAATGGGGAGGCAGGAAGGGGAAATGGGGAGGCGGGAAGGAGATGGAGGCGGGAAGGAGAGAGGGGGAGGCGGGAACGGAAAAATGGGGAGGCGGGAAGGAGAGATGGGGAGGCGGGAAGGAGAGATGGGGAAGCGGGAAGGAGAGATGGGGAGGCGGCTATCGCGATCTCGCATGCGGCTGCGGCGACTAGTGCGAAAACGGCGTCGTAGCGAGGGTTCGCGAGCGGGCGGCGAATCTGACCGTGCGAGAGCACGCAAAACCGCAGCAGTGTGCGGCGCGGTGAGCGTCACGGTGGCGTGGGGAGGCAGCGTGGGGAGGCGAGGCGAATCCGCGACGGGCGTCCAAGGCGAGGCAGCTCGGTGCGGTGCGGTCACGCCAAAACAAACTACCGCGGCGAGGCCGCGAGCAGGGGACTGACAGCGGCGGCGATTTGCGGCGATGCGAAGGCAGGCGAGGCGAGACGGCGGGGGGAGGCGACGAGGCAGCGAGGAAAAGCGCGGTGAGGCTGCGAGGAGAAGCGAGGTGAGGCAGCGGGGGAGGCGTGACAAGAGTAAGCATTCGGCGGAATCGCCGATCGAAGGCGTGATTGCAACCCCAAGCGATGGCGGACCGCCTTGTGAACGAAACCACGATTGGCGCTACGGTGCGGGAGGGACTAGTGGACTCGAAGTTATACCGTAGAAGTACTACGGCTGCGCGACTGGGCCATGTCAGAGGCTGTAGAATTCCTACGTTTTTGTGCCGCCTATTGGTTATCTCGTGTAATCCTTATAAAACTACACTGTACATCTCACAAGAGAAGAACGTGTTATAAGTAATCAAACAGAGTGCACAGAATTAAACAATAACGATGTTGTGACTCAATGAAAGACAATATAGAAAGAGAATATCTCGGCAGGAACCTTAATAGATCTATTTTGCGCATAGGTCAGGCAACGGACAAGCTTGAAGCAACGCAAGGTAGAATCGATATTAATAATATCGGCCAAATTTGTACTTTTGATTATTCGTCTTGTACACGATGCGGTACAAGTCCAACAAGATAAATCAAGCGAGTTTAGGAAGGATGCACATTTCTCTTAGTTGGGGCAAGGTTTATCGTAAACCTGGACGATTTATGTCGATCTCTTTTAAGTTCCTGGCTCTTTTTATGTGGAGAATTCGGAAGCGTGAACGACTGAGTGATGCCATCCTGACGACAGAAGGCCTCAAGCAGATACATGTAGGAGGAAAACCCACCTCCACGGTCAAAGTGCAGATGGAGAACCGAGAGGTTCTTGTGGAATCGCTCGCTCAGATGGCGACGAACGGTGCGGATCAAAGGGATCAAAACACGACGAACGTCGCCCCTACTTCGCAAAGGAAACACACTGGTGTAGCGTCTGTAGTCGTCGACGACCAGCAGGAAGTAGCGCTCCCAGCCCGGCCCAGGGATGGAGGCAGGGCCCCATACGTCCATATGCAGGGTCTGCTGAGGAGTCTCCGTCGGAGGGAACGAGGAGGAGTGAGGAGCAACGCGTTGCCGCCCCTCAATGCAGGGAGTGCACGGCGGCGCAAGCGATGGAGGGAGGAGGGGCAGAGACCTCAGAAGGCCCGAGACAAGGAGACGCGAGCGCATGAGACGCACACCCTGCAGGAGGGGGTGACCAAGACGGTGGTGCCAGAGGAGGGACAGGTAAGTGAGCAACCGACACGAGCACGACGCAGCTATCTGACCGGACCCAGCAAAATGTGCAGACTCAACGTGTGCTATGTACAGGCCAGACCCAGGCCTCCGAGTAAACATGGCGAGGTGGTTGCCAGTCTTTGAGTCCGTACAAATCGCTACAAGCTCGCCCCCATGAGTAATGGTAGTGACCAAATGATCCTAGAAGACAGATTTACTCACCAAGTTTGTAGCAAATGAGGGGAGGTGGAAACCTTTATGGGAACCAGAGATAATTGACGGACATGGGATACCAGTGGTACCTTGTGCAATGACTGGACCAGAGGAGGGGTCGACAGAGTGACTGGGACAGGTGTGGTGAGTGGTGTGACTCTAGTGCAGTCGTAGAAGAAGCATTGAGACTCGCTTGAGCCTAGCGTGAAGGTGAGCAAAGTCTCCACCGGAGCTGCACCTGTGTTAGTAGCCTCACAAGAGCCTAGACTAGCAGCCTCTATACCACACCCGAAGTTGCTGTGGTGAGAGGATCTTCTGCTGACTTTGCTGACACTGCTATCCACCCCCAAAACCTCCGCCTCCACTAGTGGCACCATCTGTACGAGCAAACGCACAGACACCTCAACCAGCTCCTGCACCTCCCCTAACAACGGACAGCGCTGCTGCAGTAGCCGGGTGGCAAGAGCGAGAGAGGAGTAGTGTTCAACTACAGCGTCGTACAAAGTCTGGGCCGACGTCACCTTACGAAAGTGGGCCCTCAAGTCGACTGGCAGGTGAGCTCGGATGGCAAGTTGTGTGACAGCGTCACGCTCCGTCCACTGTATGTAGGTAAGGCTGACCGCCTGGTACCGCTACTACACGTCCTTGCCAGCATCAATAGTAGGCTTAGTGGGAGTCGTGTGGGCCCGAAGGGACCCCGACGTTTGCTCGAGCAGGGAGACAAAATTTATAGTGAAAAGTCGGAGATATCTGCGCAGGCACATAAGCCAGAGCCCTATCTTGAAAGGGCGGCCATCTGCATCAACCACTAAGACTGGGAGAAAGGCCAAGACCGGCAGCAGCAGTCAATAGTAGCGGAGCACGGGCGGCAGTGGCAGCTGTAGTGGCAACTGGTGGTTGAATCAACAGCAGAGGCAAGTACACGGGCAGATGGAGCGACAGCTGCAGGGCAGCAGGGCGTGCAGGTGCGGCTCACGGGGCAGCACACGGGCAGGGTAGCTTACGTGGGCACGCGTATCGCGCAAGGCAGCATATGGGCAGGGCGGGCAGCAACGCACGGGCAGCTAGGGCAGCGCACGGGCAGCTTAGGCAGCGCTCGAGCAGCTGCGCACGCGGGGCGCGCGAGCAGGAGGGCAGCAGTGTGCTATGTTAGAAGTACAAACGAGGAATGTTGAACAGCAGAAGAGGGATTGCACTAGCAGGCAGAGGGGATACAAATAGGAAACCCTAACAGGTCTGTACTCACTACTGAGTACCCCACTGCAAACTAGACAATATAACATTGTGACACTCCCCCATAGGGAAAGTGGGGTATAATCAGCACAACAAGCAGTCATAGAGCAAGTTCACAAATTAGCCCTAGTGGCAGACATAGCAGAGGGGCAGTGAGGAGGAGGAGTGACTACAAGAGGAGAGGAGTTGGGAGGCGGCAGGTGAAGCTGCTGACACACGGGCATCGGAGCAACTAGCACACTGGCTACCGGAGCAAGGGCCCCGAACTACTGGAGCAACAGGCGACACAGCGGCTACCTCCTTCCAACCTCCCCCCATTGCCTCCAAACCCTTTTCTCACATCCCCCCGGCTAGCGCTACTCCCCAACCTCACCCACTCCATCCCCCCCTCAGTGGCAACTGCAGAAGTGGGAGAGAGAGGAGGAGGAGGGACAACTGGTCACGCACTCCCACCACCCCCATACCCCCCCTTACCCCCGCCACCCGGCTGTACGCGCAGCAGGAAGTCGAAGGAGGAGAGCGGAGGGCGGGCGGCGTCGCGACGTGCAGGGCGCGGGCGGGCTGTGGGGCGCTCGCAACGGGCGGGGCGCGGGCAGCAGGCGGGTCCAGGAGGGGCGGCGCGCGGGTCCCCAGGGATGGTGCGCGGGTCTAGCGGAAGCAGCGCGCGGGTCCAGCAGGGGCGGCGCGCGGGTCCCGCAGGGCGTCTTGCTGGACCCAGCGGGGCAGCGCGCGGGTCCCGCAGAGCGTCACGCGGGTCCAGCGGGGGCGGCACGCGGGTCCCACGGGGCGGGGCACGGGTCAGGTGGGGCAACGCGCCGAGCAGAAAACCGCCGCGCGCCCCGAGCGCGCGGCAGGCAGAAAACGTCGCGCGCCCGGGGCGCGCGATAGACAGGACAGCAGCGGAAGCATAGGGTGGGCCTACAGACCAGGATCGAATGAGCTCTGATACCATGTCAGAAGTACGAACGAGGAATGTTGAATAGCAGAAGAGGGATTGCACTAGCAGGCAGAGGGGATACAAATAGGAAACCCTAACAGGGTTGTACTCACTACTGAGTAACATACTGCAGACTAGACAATATAACATTTTGACACGCGACGCACGGGCTGCAGGGCGCGTGCAACGTGCACATCCCAAAACACCAGGGAGACTCGACAAAGTAGCTCCCGCATATCTGCTAACTATATCATTTCTGTGCGCAATGTTGGCGGAAACAAATTATATATGGTACAATTTTTTTTACAAGCCCCAGACATCCTCAACCTTGATACTATCAAGATATTGGTTGTGCTGTGCTCCCACATTCCTTTATGAGAGTTGCGACATGCTAAATTCTTGGCCCATACTACGGTACATGGTTTAGGGATACAGTGGGCTTGGTATAGTGGTTTAGGTTTACATTGTAAAATGCAAGATGAATCATAACTGTAAACACATGGGATCTACAAAGTGACTATGGAGCTACACTATTTACCTGGCTTCAATGTAATAGTTACAGTAGTTGGTTACACAATTCCCTTGTTATCATGGTTACATATAATTTCACTAGTTACATATTACCTTTGAATCCCTCAGTAACAATGTTATATTGTTACATTGACTTATAGCTGATGCTTGTTTGTAGGCTATAGTGGGGTAGCACATATGGGGTACAGCTTTCTAGGGTTGTATTTGTACCCAACTCAGACCTAGTCATTTCCATTCCTGTTTACTTGTTTCACATGGTATCAGAGCGGGTCCTACCTTAGGACCGTTTTTTTTAGGGCCCACCGAAGCGCGCCCCGAGGCGCGCCCTTTTTTTTTTAGCGACCCCTCGGGTCGCCTTTTCCCTCGCGGCCCCGCTGTCCCTCAGACGCGGCCTCGCCACCTCTCCTGATCGCGGCCCCACCGCCTGCTTGACGCGGCCCCGCCGCCTCCCCTGACGCGGCCCCGCCGCCTCCCCTGACGCGGCCCCGCCGCCTCCCCTGACGCGGCCCCGCCGCCTCCCCTGACGCGGCCCCGCCTCTACTGCCGCGGCCCCGCCGCCGCCTCTGACGCGGCCCTGCCGGCCCGCCGCTACA